CCACCCAAGAATCCTCTACCCAGCAAAGCTGTCAATCAAATATGATGGTGTAACCAAAACATTCCAGGATAGGCAGAAGCTAAGGGATTTTGCCAAGGTCAACCCTGCTATGAAAAACATCCTAAAGGAAGTTCTGTGGACTGAGAACCAGCAAGAACCAACTACAGAATTACGTACATGGCAACATCAACCTGAACTCAGTCGACAAATGAAAGTCAAGAACAGAATAAAATGGTAAGAACAGAGGATCTGGGAGTTCAGTCTGTGATCAAAACAATTACAATGTGAAAAAAGGTAATCATGATGGTATTAACTGCTCCAGTGGTGAGGATTTTTGTTTTGAGGTGCAACCCATACTGAAGGCTGTGGTGTTTGATCTTTATCAGTATTTTAAGTCCTCTTCACTTTCAGCAAGCAAGGTTATCTGCATATCGCAGGTTGCTAAAGAGTCTTCCTCCAATCCTGACACCACGTTCTAATCCAGTTTCTCAGATTATTTGCTCAGCACACAGATTGAGTAAGTATGATGAAAGAATACAACCTTGTGGCACACCTTTCCTAATTTTAAACCATTCAGTGTCCCCTTGTTTTGTTCAAACGACTTCCTCATGGTCTATGTACAGGTTCTTCATGAGCACAAGTGTTCTGGAATACTCAGTACTTTGCAATGTTGCTTATAGCTTGTCATGATCCACACAATTGAAAGCCTTTGCATAGTCAATAAAGCACAGGCAAACATCTTTCTGGGATTGTTTTTTGCCAAGATCCATCTGACACTGCTAATTCCACTCCCTTGTCTGAATCTGGCTTGAACCTCTAGAAGTACTGTCAGTGTACTCTTGCAGCCGTTTTTAAATTATCTTCAGCAAAATTTTACTAATATGTGATATTGTCCAATGATTTCATTTCATATTCTGTGGTATCACCTCTCTTTGAAATAGGCACAAAAATGGATCTCTCCCAATCAGTTGTCTTTCAAATTTCTTGGCAGATGAGTGCCTCCAGTGCTGCATCTTCTGCCTTCACAGAAGCAAACCCTCACCCAATTTCCCAGTGCTCAGGGAGGCCTCTCCTTTACAGATGGTGAAGTTCTGAGTGGCTCAAGTCACAGAGCTTAAGATTCCCTGAGGTTTTTCTGGAGAAGCAACCCCCTGTCTATACCATCTCTCCCAGCAGCACTCTGGGTCCCCTGGACCTTGGGCAGATAGACATGCATTAGGGAACAGGATGAGGGTCTGGGATTAGCCTGCTAGGAATCCTCAGGTGCTGAGGTGAGAGGAGCTGTCATGAAGGTCATCTCCTTTTTGACTTAGGTCTATTCCAAACCTTTCTATGTAGAGTCAACACTACCTTCCTCAAAGATGGTTATGGAAATTGAGTGGAGCTGGTACAGAGCTGGGGGCCCTCAGAGGGTGCTTCTCCTTTTGACTGGTAGTCTCACATTCTACCCTGAGCATCTGAGCTGAGCCTTAAGGCAGGAAGAAGCCAGTTCTCTAGAAGTCAGACCTGCTGACTAGGTTCAAAGGTTAGATGATGTTTGGTCAAGTTTGTAGGAGTAGAGGTGTGTGGAACCCAGATGGGGGCTGAAGCACATGGTAACATCAATGGCTCCCTCTTCCGTCATACCTGACTTCCCAGAATTACTCCCTGCTCAGCCTCTAGACTCCAAGGTTGTGGAAGGCAGGGAGATTCTAGCACATTACCAAATCTCTCCGGCTTAACCCCCTCTGGCACTAGCCATGCCTTGGCCGGGGAGAGTTGGTGATCTCCAGTTTTGAGATTCTTCTATATCAGTTATAGAAAGGTGCTCTTTGCCCCCAGAGTCTCAATCCAGATGGGTAGGAAGGGTGCCCAGGGCTGGAATTTCAGTACCTTGGAGAGGGGACTGGGTTGGGCAGGGCCAAGTGTATGTGTCGGGGTGGGGGTGAAGCCTGTGCCCATGAAGTCCCTGGAACAACCACCCGCATTCTCAGAATACTTGGAGGAGGGTGGTGCTTTTAGGAATTTTCCAAAGGACACTCAAATGTTAAACTTCTAAAGAACCCCAAAGTGATGCCTCCAGAATGGGGCTGGGTTTAATCCCACTGCATGGCGACAGCCCCACCCACCCCTGGTCTTGCCTGCGGATTGGTGAAGGAACACTCAGCCAGCTTCCCAGGACTGATAGGGGTTTCCTACAGGCTAAGGGGCTAGCCCAGATCACACAGGGAGTGGCCCACCCACCTGAAACCTTGCAGCCTAGAGACATACACCCACAGTGCCCTGCCCAACAGCTGATACAGCCCCTGCCAGGGCCCAGTGAAGGTCAGGGACACAGGATCCAGACATTTGTTATAAATACACATGTTTGGTGAGCGAGGGGACAGAAGGCAGAGAAGGCGCTGTCTACAGCTGGTATAGGCTGGAGGCTGGACGCTACACAGAGAGAAAGAGACAGTCTGCCCAGCAGGGCAGGCCGGGCAGCATTCTGGGGCTGGTAACACTTGGTTGGTGGGTAAGAGCCCGCAGAGGGTCTTGTGTGGGGCTGGGGAGGCCCGGATACCCGGAGGCTCCCTGGTCCGAGGTTTCTGGGTGACGGTGGTGGAGGCAGCTCTGGGCTCAGCTCACATCACTCAGGGCCTTACGAGCAAACTCAGGCAACACAAAGGCGGCCCGGTGCACGTCAGAATTGTAGTATCGCAGCTGTCTCTGCTCCACCTGAGTCTGCGACAGCGGCTGCACAGGCTCCTGGAAGTTGGTGCTCTGGGGACATCAGAGAGGGACATGGGGCATGAGGGGAGGGGGTCTGCGCCCCTGGCCTCGCCCCAGTCTCCACCAGCCCCCCAGCTCACCAAGTTCTTGCTGCACAGCATGAAGCCGATCTGGCCACTGGGGTAGGTGGGAATGGTGCAGTAGGCGTAGGCCACCACCGGGAAGAGCGATTTGCAGAACTGCCGCATCTCCTTGATGAGGTCCAGGTGCAGCCACTGGCACTCGCCTGAGGGGAGGTGGGTGGATCAGCATGGGTGGGCAGGGCGGGGCGGTCTGCCTCCCCACCCCACCCCCAGGCTTCAGTCACCTTGGCAGCAGAGAATGCCGTCCTCCTTGAGGGCGGTCTTCATGAGCTGGTAATAGGATTCCTTGAAGAGGCTCTCAGCAGGGCCTGTGTGAAGGAGACCAAGGTACAATGAACACCCCTGGCCATCGGCCTCCTGAGCCTGGCCATGTCAGGGACAAGGCCACTGTGGTCACCCCTGCAGTTCATCACACTGGGATCTGAACCTTGGAATGCAAACTAAGGATGTAGTCTTTGAGGGGTCCAGGGACCCACTGCCTCCATACCACCTAGGTACCTCACATTTTAATTCCACACTGTAGTGGAGGAACCAACAAGTTAGTTCAGCACTTAGGCCGACGACCCCTCACCCCAATTCTGGTCTGTCAAGCAATGCAAGATGAAGAAGAAACCACCAAAGTAGAGCCACAATCTCCAGGTCACCCCTGCTACTGAAGCTGAAGCTGGCGAAAGCAACACCATCTTGCAAGGAAAGAGACCATTAGGGTGAACAACAAGGTCAGCAGTTCAAACCCACTAGCACTGTTCCTCAGAAACCCTATACAGGGTCACTATGAATCAGAACTCAATCAATGGCACTTAACAATCCTCACTAGAGGGCTACTACAGGAATGAAGTTCCTGAAATTCCCCTGATCCTTCCCATACTCAAAATCCCTAGAAATACTCCCCTTTCTTTGCTGAGGTAGTCTTTCGAGGACACGTAGTCCCTCTACCTCTCATATGTATTAAACCTTATTGCTTTACCACACCCCTATCTCAGTGTAACTGACTTCAGCTCAGGCACCCTGAGCTGGTCTTCTGCAGTTACACTGTCCTAAGCTATGTTGTGGGGTGGAGTGTTTAATGGGTGAAAAGCACAATTCTCTGCAAGGAGAGGAAGGCCCAGGGCTTGCTCTTGCTTACCCATGGGGTCTGAGGAGTCAGTGATGATAACATCGAAGGCATCCTGGTTCTGTTTCATGAACTCAAAACCGTCACCCACGTGGAGGGTCAGCTTTGAGCTGGAGTAGCCAACAGCCATACTTGGCAGGAACTTCTTAGAGACTTGAATGACATCCTGTCGGGAAGGAGAAGGAACGGAGGCTCAGTACCAGAGTGGACCATGGGGACTGGAGCCAGACAGAACTGGGCAAGACTTCCTTGGGCAACTCACTTTTGGGAATCTCAGTCTCCACATCTGTAAGATGGGAAGAATTGTGATACCAGTCTTCAACACTTCCTTGTGACCTGGCTCTCCTGGCCTCACTTCCTGTCATTCTTATCTCCTCCCCATGAACCAATCCACCCCTCCTAAGTGGTTTACTGATCATTTCCACTCCAGGGCACTGTAATCACAGGCCTCCTGCTGGGGAACCTTTTCCTGTCAGCTTCTTACTCAGGTCCCAGAGGCCTGGCCTGCCCATTCTTAAGCCCTCTAACTTTTTATATCATCAAGCTTTTTTTTTTTTTATCAGATCACCTTTAAGCTTCCTCCTAACTAGTATATCAGCTCTAAGGGGAGGGACTGGGCCTGAGTTCATCTTTGTATTCCCAGCTGCTGGGAGCAATGCCAGGTACATAGTAGTAGTAATGACTCTGGCAGACTGCCTAAAAATTAGTCTACTTAGAACTAGCACAGATGCTGAAGTACTAGGTGCTGGGCTCCCTACCATGTCGGCTTTCCCATTGAAGCCTCCCAACATCTGTTTTTTCACATGAAAAAACAGGCCCAGAACGCTTGAGCAACTTGCCCAAGGGCACACAGTATTTAGGGCAGAGTGGTCTCTGCACCCAATGGTGTTCTGGCATCCAAGGAGTGGCTGCTAAAGACCGGAGTGGGTGTGGAGGTGGAGGTGGTGGTGGGCATAGATGGAACAGTTCCCAGAGCTAGTGCATGGTTAGTGGTAGAAGGAACTCAACTCCAGACCTCTGGCCTGTTCTGTGGATATACCTCATCAATTTCACACTGGACCACAGCCTCCACGGAGGGGTGCTTCAGCACTTCCCGCAGGACACCACCGTCCCCGCCTCCAATGATCAGCACCTGGTGGGAGGACAGTGAGGGTCTGAGGAGGTGTCAGTCCCAATTCCCCCCTCCCTCCAGCAGAACTTGTGAACAGAGGCACACATAGAACCATTGGGAACAGGGACCACAGTACTTGGGTATCTACACCATGTCTCGAACCTAGCACAAGCCGTCCTGTTCCTGGAAGCTCCTCCCAGGGCTGCACCAGAAACTTCAGGCCTCAGCCTGAACATGTGCTCCACAGACTGTCAGCCTCACTTGTAAACAGTGGGCTCCGGAAGCACACTAGGCAGGGTCCTGGAGTGACACCTTGCAGTCAGTGCTAGTCTGTGGGACGCTGCCCACTGGCAGCTAGCACTGGGAGTGGGAGGTAGGCTGAGGAGTACCTTGCGTGGATTGGGGTGGCTGCAGAGGGGTAGGTTGGCAATCATTTCTTGATAGGAGAACTCGTCCCTCTCTGTGCACTGGATGACGCCGTCCAATACCAGCACGTTGCCGTAGGTTTTACTGTGGGTGAGGCAACCGGGGGAGGTGACTAGCCTTGCCTTCCATCCTGTCTAGGGGTCCTGGGACTGAGGGGAGGTGTGACACGTGGCAAGGTTCACCCACAGGCCGGCTGGGTGGGGGCTGAAGTTGGGCTCTGACGTGTCCCCAGGCCAACACGTGGCGATCCGCACTCGGGGGAGGGGGGGCGAGGGGCGGGGGCGGACTCAGGCCCCCTCCTGGCCCAAGCCCAGCCCTGTGAGGAGGGGGTCGAGCGAGGACGGGCCTAGTTCCAGGAACTTCTGACAGTTTTGCAGGGTGAGGGGCGGGCGTCAGGGCGGTCCTGGCCGGGGTACAGCCTGGAAAGAGGCCGGGAGGGGAGGGCTGCGGGCTCGGTACCTGCGGAAGACAAGGATGTCCTGGTACCGCGAGCTCTGATGGTGCAGCAGCTGCTCCACCTGCAGCGACAAGGCCTGGCCGGGCCACAGGCTGCAGGTCTCGCGGAACCAGCCCTCGCGGATGGCGTCCGGGCAGGGGGCGGCGGGGCCGGGCTCCATGGCGGGCGGGCGGGCGGGCGGCGCGGGGCGCGGGCCCGGGACTGCAGGCCGCGCGGAGCCGCAGCACAACGGGACCAGCTCCGCCCCGCCGCCCGCGCCGAAACCTAACCCGGGCAGCGGGGCGGGGCCTGCAGCCAAGGAGGAGGGACCCACGACCGCCAATGGTGGCACGGGGACTGACCCTCAGCCAATCCTCGGAGAGGCCTCGTCGGCGCTCAGAGAGCCCTTATTGGCCGTCGGTCCGCAGCACGGCACCGACTGGCTAAGGCGGGTTGTCTGTCGGCGGCAGCAGGCTTGTGCGGCCCGCTCGGGGGGCCACGTGGGGCTGGGCCCGGCTCCTGGGTCGGGCGTGGGCCGCGTTCTGTGGTGGGGCCCCCAGACCTCGCGCCGACCGGGGCAGCCTAGCCTTTCGAGCTTCCGCGGCTAGATCCCTTTCCCTTACTTGGGTCTGGTAGCACGGAGACTGCAAGGGGCGAGGCGACACGAGACTCAGTAGGGAGAAGTACAGCTGACACCGCACGCCCAGCGCTGGGACGTGCGGACCCGGCGCTCAGCCTCCGGCTGGAGAAGTGAGCGCAGGAAGCTACATTGTCGGTTGAAGCGCTACATTGTTGCACTGGAGCAATGGGTTAGAATGTATCTCTCGCCGCGACCCCAAATTTTTTTCCCTGTTGCATTTAAACAGATCGTGCGGTCGGTTTGTCCGGGGTGCACGGAGTGTTTTTATCCCTTGAAAAGAATTATCACAGCCCCGTGATTTGTCAAGCTCGATTTAGCCATTTCCCCTGGATTCTGAGCTCAGAGAGTAGGGCTGTTGAATAAGAAAGAGCTCTTTTCTAAATGAGTTTCTAAATTTACCCTCAGTGCCCCGGAAGAGGCCAACACATGCATATTCAGCACCAAAAAAGACTGGCACGCAATTTTTTTGACAAACTGGGCCTTGCTCCTTGAAAGGTGGGCGGGAATGTGCTTTCTGTTTTTATGAAAATGTCAAGGAACTTCTCAGAATCACATTAAGCATGTTAATTACCAAATATTAAATGCTAATTGCTCTACAGGCAGTTCAGATGCCAAGACAGGAAGATGAAACCTGGTATGAGCTTCTAGTGACATGTCAGGGATGTTTTTGTATCTTTGGTTTTTTGACTGGCATTTTGCAGCCTTGCTGAACTAGCTGAAAAAAACAAGTTGTTCATCTGTGAATGCAAGCGTCAGATCTCACAGCATATGTGCCTTGGCTGACTTTAAGCTCCTTTCAAAGGGAAGGTTTTGATTTTCGTTTTTAACGTTTTATTATGAATTAAGTGAAGGTTTACAAAGCAGATTATCAGTTTTACATTCAGCAAATCTTATACTTTACTTCATTAAAATGATTGCAGTCCCCTTCATGTACCATCTATTAACCGTATTTACTTCTATTCACTTTAACGATTGCATTCTTTCTTGTGTCTCCAGCTACCTTCATCTTACTTCTGCTAACCTCTGTAAGTTCCGTTTTGTTGCTCAGTGTGGACAACTCAGTTCTGACTCATAGCAACCCTGTATAGGGTTTCCAAGGAGCGGCTGGTGGGTTTGAGCCACTAACCTTGTGATTAACAGTCCAGTGCTTATCCTAGTGCCAGTGCCGTTGAGTCGGTTCTGACTCAGACCCTGTATGGGGCTTCTGAGGAGGGGCTGGTGGGTTTGACCCACCAACTTGCGACTCAAACTGACCTTGCAGTCCAGCTCATAATCCGGCAGCACCACACCAGGACTCCAAAGAGAAGATGTTATTGTTGTTAAGTGCTATCCAGTCAATTCTGACCCATAGCAACCCTGTATTGGGTTTCCAAGGAGCAGGTGGTGAACTTGAACCACCAACCTTGCAGTTCAAATGACTTTGCAGTCTGGCACATTAACCCACAGTGCCACACCAGGACTCCAAAGGGAAGATAATCCAGTGCAATTAAATAACTGCTAGGAACTGGTATCTTGGAGCTGTTATGACGACCATTTAGTAGAAAAAGGTCACAGGATGGGACAGCTTCTATCACCATGTCTAGCTACTATAGATTTCACTAGGTTCATTCCTGTACTTGGGACACTGCGTTCTGATTTCATCCCTTCCCCCAACCCAAGGCATTTGCCCCTGTGAGTTGTTTATTCATCTGACTAAGTTCTGGTGTGGCATTGTAGGATAAGCACTTGACGCAAGTTCAGTTTGAACCCCAAAGTTGGCCGTTCAAAGTCACCAGTTGCCCCTCGGAAACCCTATACAGGGTTGCTATGCGTTGGAATCAACTGAACAAAAAGCCCTAAGGCTTGGGATGGTGCCTGCTGTCTGCAGACGCCTGAAGTTAGGCAGTGTGAACACAAGGTGCCAGGCACTACGTGGGACCAACTTTCTTCTCAGCACCGCACAGCTGACCTGTCAGGTGCTTTGACTGCATGGGAAGAAATGGATTAACTCCATCCCATCCCTCCGACAAATGAACAAGGCAGCTCCAGCATGGTCAAATGGGAAGGACCATAGATGGATGAGACCTCTTGCCCACAAAACAGCAAGTGGGACCTCTCAGCATGTACCACCATCAGCTTACACCTTTCTAGGTTCTAAGAATACAAAATTCCTGAATACAGTATTGGCACTTGGTCCCCAGATGTATATATAGCACCAGGAACCCAGAAATACCACCAACTTCAGATCTCAAGGAATATCTACGGCATTGCAGAGACAGACATTCCTGCAGAGTGCAGTTAAAGGCAAAAGTGACATTGACAAGCCAGAGGGAGTCCACATTTGTAGCACTGACAGGCTTTCTCAGATTGAGACCAGTGTGCATTGAACATTCTGTTGTCTGGTGAGTCGATAAGCCCAGGCCCCTAGAGAGAGCTGCAAGTTTATACAAGCAGGGAGGGGGGTGGTGTGGAGGGCAGGGGTGAGAAATGGCTGCTGTCCAAGGGGATGATACGTGTACAAGCTTATGGGAAAAAGTACATTATCCTTCCATTTCATTTTTCTGGGTTACTTTTTGAAGCCCCCTTGTATCTCTGTCACTAGAGAGACCTGTTTGGCAGTTAATACATAAAAGTCCTATTTAAGCATTGTGTTCAGCCAGGCAGACAGCTGTGATTATGAGTGGGAACAAATTTCGTCATTACATTGTATTACTTGGTTGAAAATGCTTGTGGCAAGCTGCACCACAAACAGCATCCTTTGACTCCTTGAGCAAAGAAGTTTGCTGCTCATAAATTCTCTTCCCACCTCCAACACAGCCAACTCTGCCAGATGACTCTTTCCAGAGCACCTTGGCTTGGAAACACTCGAGAGAGCAGTTCTGACTGACTCACACAAGCTCATCTGTGAACTCGTATGTCCCCTACCCCACCCCTTTCTTGATCCTATTTTCCAAGACTCTCCACATGGACCAGAATCCCCGGTCATCTCAGCCAGAGCCTGCTCTCCAAACACCTGGGCCTTATCTCCAAGGCAAAGGCAAGTTTGCCTGGGTTTTGGGGTACATAGACCAAAACCACATCTGCCAACTGATAACAGGTAGTCAACTTTTCATTTTTCATAAAAAGAATTTTAAAGGACTTCACTGTCTTTGGTTTTCATCTTTTTAAAGAACAAAGAACCACTTTGCCTCTACCATTGATACATCTGAGCTTTGAGAGTGGTTCTCAAACTTCAGCATGCCTAAGAGTCTCTTAGCGTGCTTGTTCAGAACAGGGTCCTGGACCCGTCCTCCGATTCCAACTGGGTATGAGGTAGTGTGGGGTTAGGCTTATCTAATAAGCTCCCAGGTGGCACCCATCAAGGACCACACATCTTGGCCTTCTTTCCTGACTCAGCCTAGATTTCCCCTTTGTGAAACCTCCTCGGGCTATCCTCATTTAAAAGTAATTTTTTGTTTTAAAAATTCCATCTGGCTATTTTTATATAAAGGAGCACTGATAGCGTAGTGGTTGCAAATCAGGCTGCGAGCCACAAGGTCAGCAGTTCGAAACTACCAGCTGTTCTGCTGGAGAAAGATGAGGCTTTCTGCTCCCGTAAAGATGTACAGCCTTGGAAACCCTACGCAGGGTCGCTATGAGTCAGAACCAACTCCACGGCACATAACAACAACAACAATTTTTATGTAACACTTTGCCAGAAAGTATTCTCTGTCCCTCAATGTTTGTGCTTTTAAGATTCTATGACAGGATGATCTGCTCTGTAAACCTTCACTCAATTCACAATAAAAAAGATTGTTTAATTTTATGAAAGTAGAACTCTGGATTTTTTTTCTGAACATATGAATGTCTGATGGAAAGAATACCATTTCTCAGAAGCCTCTGCTGTGGTCATGTGACTAAGTGACCAAATGGGAATTGGAAATGGGAAGGGAGCTAGCTGTTCAGGGTGCTCTCCTCTCCTCTACCCACCTGGCTGGGTAAGCAGGGAAAGGTGTGGAGGTAGGTGTCTGAGTTGAGAGCTACTCTAAACTGTGTTTACAAATAAGAGAAAAAACACATATCTTGTGAAGCTGCTGATAAACTAAACCCAAACTCACTGCCATTGAGTGGTTCTAATTCATAGTGACCCTGTGTAGGGTTTCCAGGCTGTAAATCTTTACAGGAGAAGAAAGTCTCCTCTTTCTCCCTCAGAGCAGCTGGTAGATTCAAACTGCTGACCTTACAGTTAGCAGTCTAACTCATAACCCACTACATGACCAAGGCTCTTTTAAACCACTGATAGTTTGGCTTTTCTGTCAATTTCAACCAGTCTAGTTTAACCACTGCTCTCTGTCAGCAGCTTGTATGTTGCTGTCATTCTGGAAGCTTTATCTCTGGTATTTTGAATACCAGCAGGGACTCGCATGGTAGATAGGTTTCAGATGAGCTTCCAGATGAAGACAGACTATGAAGAAAGAGAGACGAACTACTTTTGAATATTTAGTAACTAAAAACCTTATGAGTAACAGTGGAACACTGTCAGATATAGTAGTGCTGGAAAATTAGCCCTTCAGGTTGGAAGGCACTTAAAGCGTGATTGGGGAAGAGCTGTGTCCTCAAAGTAGAGCTGACTGTGATGACATTAATGGGGTAAAGCCTTGGGACCTTCATTT